CATTGGGATTTCAATTCATAGCCTTTGTTGGAGTTCTGGAAGCTCTTGTATGTTGCAATACATTGACACATTGAGCGCAAGCTGATAAGGCATCCAGGTCCAATCCTACTTCCACCGTGAGATATTCACGGGTTGTTTCATTCTCGGGTCATTTTGGCCTATTTTACACGGTATCGACTTTGTGAGACAGAATACGGTTCTGTCCGCTACATGGGCCGTCGGGTGCTCTCTCATGAGTACTTTTACTTTGCTTCCTGCCAACAAAGTAGAAAACATTAACACCATGTATGAGGCTTCCTGATTTATCAAGGCTGATTTTGTGGATGATTTACTAACGAGATGTTTGTGCAGAACTTATGGTGCACTGCTAATGTTCTTCACCGGATTGTTCTATCTACTTTTCGAGGACATCATCTTGAAACATAGTAAATCTTCAGGACATGCGCCAGGTGCTATCTCTAGTTTGGGCTCACGAGTCATTATGGGCATGCAGGTACGGCTTTTTTGTCCTTTTCCTCTTCTCGCTTGTGTCTACGGCGGTCTTCAAGACCACACGACGGGGGACTGTTTACTATGTCGCTGCCTTGACACATTCGCAGAGCAATCAGTTGACTTAAGTAGGTTGGTATGGTTTTGCTTGCCTTGATAGTCACCAGGTCCAGTGCGGCGTCTTTGCAAGCCAAGCAAGGTCTCCCAGTTGGTAACCAAGTAGTTGGCTGGTTCGTTCTGGGTAAGTGTTGCGAGGAACTGGCTTGGCTCCAGCTCTTGTTCCGCAACCACTTTACTTAGATCTGGCTAACACGATCCTAGTTGCCTCGCTTCTGCTGCCATTTTCCCATCGACTGTATCCTAACAGCCACTACTTGCACCGCCTGATGGTACTTTTCCTCACATTTTCGCCCACCTTTATCATCCTTACCATTTCGTACGAGGGCCTTTTCTACTTTGTCTTTTGCATGACGCTAGTCACCTGGGTCCGTTTGGAACATGCCATCTATGTGTACACTGCGACGCCCTCTGCGAACCATGGTGGAATCAGTAGGTCGGTTCCAAAGAAGCCAGGCTTGAATGCTACAGCGGTAGTCGATGGGCAGGAGTACCGCTACCGCACGCTTGGCCTGGCAGACACACGCGTGGCGCTGTTTTTCTTCTTCCTTCTCCAATCAGCCTTCTTCAGCACCGGCAACATCGCGTCAATCTCGTCGTTCTCGCTGGAGAGCGTCTGCCGTCTCATACCAATTTTCTCTCCGTTTAGCCAAGGCGCACTGCTCATCCTGAAATTGCTCATCCCTTTTGCCCTCATCAGCGCTAATCTGGGTATCCTCAACCGCCGGCTGGAGGTTGCACCCAGCGCTCTGTTCATGGTTGTCATGGCCATTTCGGACGTCATGACTCTCAATTTTTTCTATATGGTGCGGGATGAAGGGTCGTGGCTGGACATCGGCACCACCATCAGCCACTTTTTGATCGCCAGCTTCCTCTGCACTTTTGTTGCGGGACTTGAGTTTCTTAGCGAGGTGTTCATCAGCGGGGTGGACTTCGGACCGACCACTAAGGCGATCGGGGCCGCTATCACCAGGGCCGTGGACGGGACTGGGGAGAACGACGTCGCAGTTGCGCAATCTGGACCTGATGATGCGGCGAACGGCAAGAAGGCCGAGGGTCTAGAAGGGAGTGAAAAGGCTCGCCAGAATGGCGGCTCGTTATGATTTTATGTAAATTTTATCTATAGATTATTGGCAGGGCGCCATACATAGCTAATTACCTTGGTACATTATTGTTTAGCTGCATTCTCATCGTCTTCGAGCACACTGTGATGCAGCACTGCTAAACAAACTGTAGCTGTTAGCTTGCTCATTACACTAGACACCATGAAGTCAAGCCCATCAGTTGAGCCGAGGCATCACAAGCCAAACCAAACTAAGTTTGCCAGGATTGGACCCCAGGAAGCTAGACCCGCATCCGCCCTAACCCTTTTCAGACTAAGGCAGGCTATCTGACGGCGGAATTGCGGGGAAAGAGTCAGGCACCAATCCATACGGAGTACACTTATTGTCATTTTTCTACGTGCAGTCTTACGCAGGAGTCGGACTCGATCGCTATGATGATGTGATGCGGGAATTAGAACCGGGGAGATGCGGGATGATGGATTGGGCTTGCAGCTTACCTTACATTCTACGATCCATCGGAGAGTCTGGGGTCCTTGGTTGGATGGTGGATTTGATTCCCTTTGGGATGGATGGTGGGTGGCATGGCGTATGGTGCATGGCAGGCAGTGTAGGGATGTAAATTGCCGCAGAACGATGTCAGGGAGTCGACTGGTCTCATGATGCTTTCTTTTCTTTCCTGGTTATCTACAGACAGTTCGAGATGGACTACAGGATTCCGTATCCTTCCGCGTGGTGATTGATGATTTGATTTTCTGGGACTGGGAGGAGAGATGGTTGGTGAGCGGTGAACACGGACTGCTCGATAGCTTTGGATTTCGTAGCAGAGCCAGAGACGGGGACCTTGAGGCTTGAAGACATCAGACGTACCGTCCCCGATCACCTGACGCCCGCTATCACCTGGCGCCTGATTTTCGGGTCAACTACGAGTGCAGAAATGAAGCTATACAGCCACAACTAGAACATAAAATGATTAGAATTTTTAATGGAACCAAATAACAAGTCCAGAGAAGTTGTTTAGCTAATTTTTGGTGTTACGGAATCGCTGCGGAAGCCGTATTTGCCTTCCTCGACTATTTACAGTAACAGGTGCCTCTTCCACTTCTTCCTCACTTTTCCTATGGGTATTATCCTTTTTCTTTTCTGTAGTAGACTCGGTACACTTCTTCTTACCTTTATTAGCCTGTTTGACATCATTTTGAAGCTGTAGAGAAGCTTGTTTTGCAGCTTTCTCCTCCTCTTTCTGGCGTCTCTTTTCCTCCGCTTCCTGCATTCGTAGACTCTTATTATAAGCCCTTATTCTCTTTTGTTCTTCAATCAAGCGTATTTTCTCTTCTTTCTCCTGCTGCCGACGTATCTTATCTTCCTCTTTGGCGGCCTTAGCAAGGCGTGCAGCCTCCTCCTTCTCTGCTTGAAGATCCCGCGCTTGTTGAACCTTCTTAGGGCTGTAAAAGATGGCATTACCATCTTCTGGTGCTTGAAGCTGAAGCTGTAAAGGCTTCCCACGCTATCGCTTCTTCTGCTCATTTCGTAGAGCATTTTCCAAGCCCGTACATCGTAGTTTGAGAAGAATGTTCTCTGTAGAAAGATGCATCATTGTGTCATTCAATTTCCGGACCTTCTGATCATAAACATCAGAAACAGCTTGCTTTAGGAGCTTTTCAATGCGACGCCAGTCTTCTGCCTTTAAAATAGACTGTGATGACTCACTAGAAGAGGGTCTTTCGCCCTCTTTTCTGGTGAAGCGTGCCAAAACAACCTCTGGGTTCCAAGGATGTAGACCAACTGATTTCCATGCACTGTTGATATTTTCAATTGAAAAAGCCTTATTCCAGCTTGGCCAAAATAGTCTGAAGAAATCCCGCTTTGTGATATGGCTTATTCCTTGACATTCATGCATAAATCTCTCCAATTCGTCACTGTAGGCCCGAGAAAGGGGACCAAAAAGACTGACGTCAAGAGGTTGTAAACTGTGTGTTGAATGAGGTGGATAAATAGCCAAAAGGATTCTATTTGCATCGCAGAAGTTAATAAACTTCATGCTGACATGGGAGCCATGGCCATCAAGAATTAAGAGCCGCCAACGTCTCCGAGCTTTCTCCTTTGTCTCACGATCAAAAATTGAGGTAAGCCACGCATATCCCAGGCTGTGATTTGTCCATCCAGTAGCTGATGACTGGAAAAAGCAGTAGTGATCATTATGATCAAAATCCTGCAGCCACGTATCTCGAATATCTCCAGAGACTGCCTGGTAAATCAGACCAGGTGAAAGAGATGTCCCATCTGCACAAATACAGGCTATGGTAGTAATCCACTCCCTATTCCCATCTTGAAGTCGTTGTTGGCTTCCTCCCTTCTCATACCAGTGTCGTGAGAAGATTCTTTTGCCTTTTGATAGTACTCCAATAAGAAAACCTTTCTCATCCATATTATACATATCTCTTGGTTCAATGCCATATTCCTCAATCTTTCTCGCCATAAGCTCAAAGTATAAAGCGTACTTGTAGGCAGAATCAGCCCTTTTGCGTGAAGAATCAATCCCAGTAGTATAGTGAGAAACAAGCTTATCTTGATGTCTCTCTAGGAAGCGGTTTGGCCAACATTTTCCAGGCATAATTCCAGTAATTTCCTTTGCAAAATTTCGCAACATTGAATGAGATGGTGGCAGGCCACGCTCAGTGAGGTCATTAATCCATTTAATAAGCGTCTTCGACTGTTGGTTGTTGAGAATTCGTTGATTTTCGTACTGATCTTGACGAGACCCTTGTACACCGCGGTGGCGCCTTGACAATGTTGAAGGGCTAACCCCATGCTTTCTCGCAATTTTTGCATAATTTATTCTTTCTCCTAGTTCCAGGGATTTTATTTCTGCAAGAGCTGCCTCAATTGATTCCATATTGATGGTGTTGTGGTCGTTTAAAATCTATCTAAAAAGTCGGTGTATAGATGAAAATCAGGCGTCAGGTGATATCGGGCGTCAGGTGATTGGGTACGGTATATCCTTCTTGAGTACGGAGTAGCTATTGCCAGAATTCTACGGCTCTTTTTTTCAGAGAATAAATTCAATTTAGAAGACTTATTTGTATTGTACAATGCAAGCTATCCTCATATGTGCCTAATGAATGACTGTCCATAATTAATGTACTAGAAAGAGCCGTTTGAAAGATCCTTTGTGCTGTCTGTCATCGCGACCATACCCGACATTGAATCAATTTGGGTTCGAAAGAAACTTTGCCGTCTCATCAATAAAAGCCATAACTTCGAAAAATAATACCATGGGTCCATCATTCATGTCCTCATAATGTCGGGCAGTCCTTTGTCAAGCCGATTGACTTAGCAGACAGTGATGTACAGACCAAGACTGGATAAAGATTAGCCACGGTTCATATTCTGAGACGCGTAGAGAAAACTTACGGAGAGGGGTTGTAGTCCTCGAAGAAGTTGAGGTTGGTGCTACCAGCATTCTTCATCTCGAAGCTGACTGCCTGTCCAGCGGGGCACTGGAAGGTAGAGATCAGGTAAGAGTTGCCAGGGGAGACGGTGGTAACACCGTAGTCCTGCTTGACCTTGGGAGCGTTGCTATAGGAGGTCTTGGAAGTAGCGGCGGACTCGAGCATGGCGAAATCGATCTTGCCGTCGCCGCTGAAGGAGTAAGAAGAGGTCTCAAGGTCCTCCTTCTTGGGGAACAAGAAGACGAGGCTGCAGGTCTTGCCGGCGTCCGAGGAAGGAATGTCAAAGTTGAAGATGCTCGAGACGGTGGAAGAGACCGTGCCATTGAACGAGGTGCCGGGAGCCTTGCTTGGAGAAGAGGAGTCGACAGGGATGATCAGGTGGGGGAATTCGTACTGGCCAGAGAGATTGGTTGGGCAGCTGGCGCTGGAAGAGTGGGTGGCAGAGGCAGAGGGATGTGATCCAGATGGGGTCTGAGAAGGCTGGGAGCCGGAGCCTGGAACAGTCGAGGACTGATGGGCCTGGCTAGGCGCACTGGATGGCTGAGAACCAGAGCCAGCGGGTGTAGAGGGTTGAGAACCGGAGCCAGCTGGGGTAGTTGTCTGAGGGCAGGCGGTAGTGGTCATGGTTGTCTTCACAGTGGTGGTAGATGCGGCAGCGCTCGACTCGGGAGCTGGCGCGCTGGGAACGGAGGCGCTCGACTCGTGAGTAGGAGAGGCAGCAGGGGTGCTCTTGTGCACTGCGGAACTTGTTGGAGTGACAGAGATGACCGAGCTGTAGACTGCGGAAGAACTGGCGCTAGCGCCGGCACCGGTATTGGCACAATTGTCGGCATTCAGCTGAATCTTCTTGCAGCCAGTCACATCGTTGCTATTGGGGGAGGTGTAGACGTTCAGTCCTCCGTTCTGACCAGTCGCACAGGCGACAAAGTCTGTGTTTCCGTTGTAGGTAAGCTGGCCCTGGGCGTTGATGGAGAAGCCGGTGGTGGGCTTAGCTCCGGAATCACACTGGAACTGGGTGGTAGGAGCTATCGATTTTTGTTAAGACGTCGTCAATGTGTCAAAGGTGAATCCAGATACTCACGGGTCAAGATGCATCCGCGTCCGTGACCATCGATGATACCGCCATCGGAGTTGATGCAGTACTCGCCCTCGGGAAGGTTGCCGTAGACACGGTTCTGTCCATCATCAAGCTGGCCAATGGGACCAGAGGCACCACCCGATGCGGTCAGATGGAAGCAGCAGGTGTTGTCTCTGGTGACAAGAGCATTGGCTCCGACAGCGAGAGCCGCGAGAGTAGCGAAGTTCTTCATTCTGTGAGAGCGACCGAAAGGAGGCAAGGCAGCACAATAGGTGAAGCGAATGGACGAAAGGTCTGATTCGGTATGAGTAAGACCTTGTTTATCTTTTGTCTGTTTGAGGACTACAACAAACACTGATGAGGACGAGAAGTACTCTTTACTTATAAACCAAGGTGGGTACACTTCACCCCAGCGTCATGGATGTCACTGCCGGGTACCCAGATCAAGGTACCTTAGGTCAGCAACACCTCATACTTCCGCATGGGAAGCAAAAAATAGAAACAAAGCGTGGCCAGTTGCAATGCATTTTCCTGTAATGCGGGTGGGCCAATGCCGACCACTCAGGCATCATAAACACGCCAGAAACAGCGAGTAAACAAGCTCGATATTGCTCGGACCTGCCGGCGAGCCTGGAAGCCATCGGATATCGAACGGCGTTCGATATGGAAGACGTCATGATGGACAACGGCATTGTGGGGAGATGGTGAATAGCATTGAGATAGCGTGGCCCACCCACGATCCTAGGTACGTAGTACAGGACGGGCAACAACGGTGGCCATACGTAGTATTAATGATGCAAAGCATAAGAGCCAGCAGGTGGATCTAGGACCCATTAGAAGGGTTCTCGGATTGGCCGTAGAGAGCCTGCCCTGGTCAGTGACCCTTCAATATTGCCCGATACATGGTTCCCTCAGTGTCTCAGGGCAGGATACTGCGACTGAAGTGGCGATATCAGATCTGATCCGCGGAACTGGCTCTATCGAAAATTGGTCTGGCCAAAGACAACAAGCGTTGCCTGATGGGGTTTCAAGGAAGAAAGCATTGAGCTCCCATGGTTCTTTGCTTCTATTCATAATGTCCTATCAGCAGGAATGGATGATGGATGGTCGGTCACGCATTGAACACACAGTTGAGCACCCATGCATTGTCAACACCATCAGCGGTTTATTCCAAGTACAAGGCCTACCTGATACTGTCCATATATTTGAATTTAGAAAATGGGAAAAGCAGTGGAACAGAGCAGAGAGTGGAGATCTTCTCAAGGTGCCTTGCATCTAGTGGACGTCATGAGAGGTCATTGGGGTTGACTTAAGCTTCCGCAACATGAGCACAAAATGGGGCAGCCTGGGTTGCCTTATCCTGTTGTTGCTTAGCCGCTTTCGCAACGGGGCATGGCTTGTGCCTCACGGACCAGGGTCCTATCATCTACGTTCCTGGGCGTAGTCACCAATACTATGGTAGTCTGGAGTGTGGGTTTTGAACTACCGAAATGAAACTGGAGAAGTTGTTGGGAAGCTGTACAAGTCTTGGTACACAAGAGTGAGAGCAAGTAAGCAACCCTCGAGTGGGACAATATGGAGCTTAGTGGGTAAGTGACGAAACTGGCAGCCAACAACACTGCTTGTTGGCTTTACACAGCCTTTTCACTGCGGGTTTATTTGTTTAAAATTGTGCAGCTTCATGGGGATTATGATAATATTAGTCGGATTTAAGACATCTCATCTCTCAACGTGCTGATCATATATTAGCCACGTCATTGGATTACCAAGCCATTATTTCATCAATTATTGCTCTGTAATTGGGTTCCCTTGAAGCAAGCCAGCATAGAGTCGAGTAACTGAAGTAACTGCAACAAGATATCATCAGCCAGGCACCAACATACACAGTACCCCTGAAACGAGTATAGCCGCAGTGCGTCCAAATTATCCAGATTGGTCAATCAGTGATCATAGATCATAGATCATATAAATGCTACCTAGGTGGAAACATCTGTCCACCTTCGTATTCTGTTTGACCCCTAACTAAGATCAAGACGTTTATCTAGTTGTGCCTGCCAATACTACCAATCTGCTCGAGGCGATACAATGATCTAAGGCATCACACAAGTTTAACCATAATACTGAGCATGGGAAGCCCCAATGTCTTGACTGAAGGCTAGGCCCGGACCTCGAATGTTTCTAGATAATTCATCACAAAACGCATGGGTCCACCAACAAAGGGTAACGCAGAGCGTCATTCTCCATCATGAGCAAACGAGACGGCCCTGGTCTTCCCGCAAACCCCTGTAGTTGAGTCACAAACGGAGTGATCCAGTTGAGTAAGGTCTATCCCTCGAATCGATGTAAGCCTTGCATCACTTACATCTCTTTATCTCTGAAGCTGTCAAGACATCCGTTAAGTGTTCTGTTCTGGTCATGTGTATGTTGGCTGTGTGTGACTGCGAGGGGTTTCAGGGTGATTGGGACACAGAATGGAATCAATAGAGGTAGGATATAGCAAACTCTCATTGACATTTAATGGAAGATTGAATTTTCTGCCTCTCAAGTATATGAGAGGCAATGGTAGGTACTCAAACTTTCGATCTGCATTGCCCTCTGGTGCGGGTTTAAAGCTCTTAACTCTCAATCCTGGCCTAGTGAGAGTCTGGAGAGTCAAAGCCTCAAATCCAAGAGACATCCACAAGGACTTGTCCGCAATGAGAGAGAATTCAACTGTCCAAGCCTCGTTATCACAATACATCGAATTCAAGGGGGTAATGGCACGCCGCTGTCGGGTGGGAGCGAAACACATGATATAGACATTGATCCAGACTCAGTAGAAATGAGGCGATAATAATACAAACAAAAGCTGTTGTAATTCTTTGAGAAACCTATAATGTACAATACCTCATAAACAGCCGCTTTATATCTTGCCTCCAGTAATCTGCTCTCCCAGCTTCTTGACTCTGCTCTGGATAAGATCCCAGCGAGCTGCTTCGCTCTTCTTGGATTCGTTGACAATGTTTTGCACTGTTGGAGGCACGCCAAGGTTCCAAATATTCTCACCCTGCTGGTGATCACTGCGCCATGCCTCGTTCTCACCCTCGGGGAACACCTTCTCGATCTCGGCGGCAAGTTGAGCCTCGGTGGTGATAAAGGTACGAGCATTCATGTAAAGCGCTTGTAGCGAGTCTTGACGTTCCAACTCATCCCGAGCCTTCTTGCTCTCCAATTTTGCGCGGGATTGAGCAAGACGCTCTTCTCTGTCGGGATCCGGCAGCACCGGGGTATGTTTAGGCAGCATGTCCTGGACGACAGAGGGACGAGTCAAGCGCTCGTCGTCTCTTTCCGGCTGCCGAAGAACTCGTTCGCGCTTTCTCTGTCTCTCGACGCTGCGGTGCGCCATGAGCTTGTCCGTCCGCTGCTTGCGGCTGTGCAATTCGAGGAGACCTTCCCGGAGATTCTGCCGCCTCATGTCGGCCATTCGCAGCTTCCAATCCTTGTATTCAGCGTGTGGGTCATTGGGGTCGATTTTGATCTCCTTCAACGGGAGTGGTGTCGCAGCAGCAATGTATTCCTCGCTCGGCTTGTCTACTCGGCGGGCGGGGAAGAGCTCTCGAGGAACGGGCAGCGTACCCTTGACTCGGGGTTTCACTGGTAGATCGGGCTGAACGGTTTGAGGGACGTCGATGAAATTTGGAGACTCTGGTCCGACTCGACGGCAGGAGGAAGAGGAGAAGCTACGGACTTGCGCCGTGGCAGCCCTGCAGTTGCGGAAGAGAGACATGCTGGACTAACGCCGTTCGCTCAGGCCCACAAGCAAGCGACAGGTCTCTGTTCAATAGGAAAGGGGCCACCAGAAGTTGAGGAGCGAACAATTGCACAATTTAACAAGTGGCCAGACAACGTAGCGAGCAATGAACGATCGGAAGACAGCGGTCTCTTTGTCACAGGAGTCAGGAAAGATGAAGCGGATTTTCTTGCACTTGGTCCGTGCACCACAGAGCTTGGCACCCGCGCCCGAAAAAAAAAATAATCTCACTAACGAGGAAATTTTCCTTTTCTCCTTCTCTTCCCTCTCTTGCGCTTTGCCAACTCTGATTTTTCTACTCCTACCTTTGGGACTTCTGAAATTATTTTCTGAAGGCCATATCAAAGAGTAGCATTCGTCATGGGTACAGGAAAGAAGGAGGCGAACCGTAAGGTGCGCCAGGGGAAGGTTGGAGATGGCATGGCCAATGTCAGAACGAAGGGTGAAAACTTCTACAGGTATGCTATATGTGCTTTATTCACTGTGAAAACTGTTTTACTGACCTAAGGAAGAGATGCGAAGAAGGTCAAACATCTGAACATGTTCAAGGATGGCAAGCCTCGACGTGACGCTGCTGGAAACATTACCGTCGCCGCCTCGTACCAGTCACGAGACGCACCCACGGCTCGGATTGAACCCAACCGTAAATGGTTCGGTAACACGAGAGTGATCTCTCAGGAGGCATTGACATCCTTCCGTGAGGCAGTCGCGGAGCGTGCCTCGGACCCGTACTCGGTTCTCCTCAAGACCAACAAGCTTCCTATGAGCTTAATCAGAGACAATGTTCACACTGTGAATGGACTGAAGCAGCATGAAGCGAAGATGGCCATTGAGACTACTCCTTTCAGTGATACATTCGGCCCCAAGGCTCAAAGAAAACGAGTCAAGCTGGGTGTTGCCTCTCTGGAAGACTTGGCTGGAGAGACAGTCAAGATGCATGACGCCTATGTTGAAAAGACAGATCAAGCCACTCATGAAGATGGAACAATCATCGCTTCTGGCGATGTATCGACCGATGATAAGACTTTCAGTGAGGCACCCACTGCTCGAGAGTCCGTCTTCTCCAAAGGACAGAGCAAGCGAATCTGGAACGAGCTGTACAAGGTCATCGATTCTTCAGATGTTGTCATCCACGTGCTTGACGCTCGTGATCCCGAAGGCACACGTTGCAGGAGTGTTGAGAAGTACATCCGTGAGGAAGCTCCACATAAGCACTTGATCTTTGTGCTGAACAAGTGCGATCTGGTTCCCACGAGCGTGGCAGTAAGTAATTCTTCTGTTCATTCATTCCTACCCTCGAAGTTCTTGTCCAATATGATCATCACATTGCATCTTCAGGCTCTTGAAGCCTATATGCCATTGCTAAGTCAAGTCTTCTTCCTGCGACTTTGTGTCGTGTTTTTCTCCATGGAAGTTTGTCTGTTACAGCTCTGGCAGATTGA